CAACGCAAACTGCAATAGCCGAGAGAGGTCTTGGCAGTCGTGTCGGGCGGATCCATAACCAAAGACATTCAAAATTCGGATTTTCAAAATCTAGTCTCCGTTGACAGGGAATGTTTTTCAAAGAATAAACGCACACACCACGGCCCCGGCTACCTATACGATCGTTACGGTGGATATTATAGCCACTGATTGATATCAAGCTATCATCAACATCCTTGTGTAGCCACGATTCTGTTATAGCCACTAGATCCATTGGGTTACTATCCAAAAGTACAGCAAGTTCGTCGATCTTAGGCAATAACGAGCGGGCATTTATTATTTATTATATCTCGTCTCTTATTATTTCGTACAATTATGCTTATACTGCAGGCTGCAAGCAGCCTTTGCATAATCCCCAATTGTTTGCAGGCCTGAGCCACCTTAGCCTGCGAGCAGGCTCAGGCTAGAGCCACCAAAGCTATAAGTTTCAATAACCAGTGGAAAGAGGAGATAAATTTATACAATATATGAAAGTTTTAAAAAATCCTATAGAATTGCAGCGGTGAAATTCATAGTTTAACATGCTATTCTGGACAGCGCGCGCGATCTTAACCTATATAGATATACAGATATATAATAGTATTCGCTTACGGCTAATAGTAATATCTGACCGTACAGTTTGCGGCCGAATTTCGACGTTTGCCGACCTGAGCCACCTAAAGTTCAAAATCATTGGAAAAAGGAGATAAATTTGTACAACATATGAAAGTTTTAAAAAATCTTAGTTGTTAGGAAAACATCGTTTTGGAGTGCTTTGAGATACGTTTGCTGGTTTGTGTACAGAAAACCATAAAGGTGCTAGTTAGCTAATATGACCTGTATGCTTTGTTTTTTTCTGATTCATTTGGGAGAGAAGGAATGGCTATATTTTTCATTTTAACTTTCGAGTGATTGAAATGAGTGAGTTTACACCACATCGAATGTCATGTTGAATATCATGTTGAATCCCATGCGTACTTCACAGTGGTAAATATGTCGTTTTTTGCCATTACCGGCATAGATATAGGAGATCTTACCGGTACCCGAGAGGATACGTGCTTCCACTTTCCAAGTTAAAATTTCCTTTTATCTCCGGCTACCAACAGCTGGGAAATTTGTTGCGCCTGCGCCAGATTAACCAAAATTGCCATTCAAACTCGAAGATTTCGCCGCAGAAATAGCGAGACGCTCGCGGTTGTTGTATATTTTTGAATGCCGGTTTAATCTTTATACTTTTTTGCTTGAGACAAAGACAATTTGAAAGTAAAATGTACTCTACTAGGCCGTAGGATGAGCACCCAAAAGATGCTTTTAAAACAAATTTAGTCAGGAACAAAAATTATGGAAATATCCAGAGCTAGGCAATTCCACTTTGCCTTCATATTGTGCCCTGAAGGCTAGTAAGTACGTTTCTATATGTCGGCGGCGTTAAAATTTCTTGTCGGCTCCTGCCGACACGTTCTTCTTCCAATTTTGTATTACAGTTACAAAAATGTGAAATTTCAAAAAGTACATTTCTAACAAAATAGGTACGCTGTAGCGTGGATAAAAAACAAAGAATGATTGATGTGAATAGAATACATGGAATGACCAATTTTATTAGAATAAAGATAGGCTATAACATATCACACAAATATACACTCTAACATATAGTAGCTTCCATAGCAAATCTGGTGCGTCGATCGTCCTTAAGTGTTAGATGTATTAATTATACCATTTCCAAGATATTCATTTTTCGCAATATAGTTTGCAGCCAAAAACGCTTATTGACAGTAGCCGATATCTCTTCAAAGATTTCTTCGTTTTTTGTTCTAGTGTTCCGATGACACGATGGGTGGACGTGATGAAGTTTTGCATTCAATTTGAAAACAACGTTATACACTTATGAAGTATAGTATCTTTCCAAGATAAACATGTACACATTCCATGGTCATACTGTACTTCCAATTTAACATTGTTCTCTAATGGTTTATAATATTTTCTTTCACGTGACAGAGACCATGGAAATATCTACATAGATACATCAATTTCTAGTTTAATTTGTTGCAAATCTGATAAAGATGCAACTGCAAAAAATATGATAAAACCCTTATTTCCCCAGGAATGCCCACCCTATAGCACAGTACAGTACAGTACAGTTTGCCAAGATCAGATTAAGTTTAAATTAATACCAAACATAAAATTGGGGAAAACAATACTAATAATGTACAAACTCAAAGGAGGAAAGCACAAGATAGACAATTCGAGATTTTTGAAGGTGTTTATATAGGCAGGAAGAGTCATTGTCAACCACAATGCATTGTGCGCCCAAACATACTTGGTGGCCATTTTCATGGCGGAATACGTACTGTCGCGCTTGCAACTAAGGATGAACGGTCGCAGATAAAACATTGTCTATTCTCATGACAAAGTTCAATGTTTTTACCGAGAAAGTTCAATGTTTGCGATGATCATTTGATGATTTGAATTGGCTCAGCCAATCTGCTTGGAGCCGGTTGAAAGTGATTGGCTGGTCAGATTAAAACCGCATGTCAAGTGCTCTTGCCAAACATTGAAGAGGATTCTCACGCGAATGGGCAATGTTTTTATGAGCAACCTGTCATCCTTAGCTGCAAGCGACGTTAATAGATTTTTCGGTTTTCAATCCATAATATTGATTGCAACCATCCTATGCTTCAGACTTGCCCATTTTAACTTTTTGTACTAAAATTGTACCGAAAAATGTTTATTATCGACGTCACTTCTTTGCTATTTGTCACTTCCAAATGTAATATGTGAACAAATGCATTGTGGTTGACAATGACACTCTAAGTTTTATATCTCAATTTATATCAAGTATGGAGTCAAAGAAGAGGTTAAACGTATAAATATTAATGGCCGCATTGCATGTGATCGAAGCTTTATAAATAAAATATACAGCTATTTCAATTAAGGTTGCCCCCGAGCAAAGCGGAAAAGTCGAATACGAGCGCGAAATGCTTGCTGGGAATCGCTAATTCCCAGCAAGCCTTTCACGCTCGTAATTGACTTTTCGGCTTTGCTCGGGGTATATTCTCACCGACTGAATACGCTAAGCAAAATACCAGGTAGTCATTGTCAGTGAACGAGTGAAATACAATATAAAGTAGCTACGTTATTATTTATCTCGGCATCTCGCCAATTCAATACATGAGACGGTATACAGTTAATTCAAAAAAGGTTGTCCTTTGCAAACCGTAAACTCTAAACCTTAAACTAAGCGTGCAAAGCATAATGGGAGCATTATTTATATTTAATCAGTTTAGAAATCATATATGTATGGGGCCCATTTCTTAGAGACATGGTAAATATCTCCTTATGAGAACAATTCCTTTACAAATAGCTGCAATATTCAACTACTAAGTTTGAAAGTTGTGCTCCCATTAAGCTTTGCGTGCTTAGGGTTAGTTGAGAGTTTAAGGTTTGCAAAGGACCTTTTTTTGAATTGGCCGTATACTCTAAAAAGTCAAAACAGCGAGTACCTTAATACTGAAGAAACTTTAATTTTTTCGAAGCTCGAAATTTTTAATGTTCGAATATTTTTATTCAAACAAAAGGAAGCGCACGATAGAAATCAAATGTTGTCTGAATGATCAAACCATTTCTCACAAACAGTTTATTGTAGAAGCGCGGGCTTTAATCTAACTAGAGAGCCTGTTCGCAGGAGAAGTGAACCGTCCACTCTATACATCTTTGTTCCTAAATTACCTCTTGTCGACAGCATATGGCGACTACTGTTTCAGTAGACGCAAAAAATAACTTACATAATTTGAAAGCTTGCAAAAAACTACGTATAAGACATTTAAACTGTTACCAGGGTTTTCAAGTTCTTCTTGAGTTATGAACCGTTGAAAGCGTGTTTTCAGACTAGTACCCAGGATTTTTGGCTTATTTTTCACATTTGGAACAGCAATAACTCGAAAACCACTTGAAAATCCCAGCTAACCATTTAAATGTCTTATATGTAGTTTTGTGTAAGCTTTCTATTGATGCAAGTCATTTGTATATTAGAAATGTATCTGAATTTTTTAACTGTAATAGAGTTAGCTGCGTATAATGCTCGAACCACCGCGTACAATGGCGAAAGCACCACGTATAATGGTGAAAGCACCGCGTATAATGCCGAAAGCACCCAACAAAATGCCGTTTGATCACTTAAAACAGCTATGGCTTTCCATAGGCTCACATTTCGCTTAAATTAGACTGACAATAGGAAACGAGGAAAGGGAGGAAACATTCATTGGGGTGATATTTTAGGATGGCTATAACTTGCTTAATATTTCATAAAAGAACACAATTTTTTGTATACAATCTAGAAATTGTCTGTTTCTACTGCGTTAGGAAACAAATTTCAATAAACGGTCGTTTAACCTACATATATGACGACCGATATTCATTGATTAATTTCGTACGATGTGCACCGCAACACCCTATGACGGAAGTGACGTATTGTTTCGTGTTGATGCATGATTGATTCAAATTTGAATTGTTCGATTATGAAAAACTAACATCAAGACTAATATGAAAATTCCATATAAATTTAAGGTATATGAACAAAATAAGACAATTGGTAAACGGTTAAAGTAAATAATTACTGAGAATTGCTAAATGAAATGCGTTTACTAAGTTAGATACAAAGATATGTTTGTCTCTGTTCGAAATTTTCAAAAAATTGTGCTCGACTTAAACGATATTCATCGCAGCCGTTTTATTTAAAATTAAATCTCTCCATGTTTCAAATAATATTTTACATTTACAGTTTATTTTTTACGAGAATTTGAAATTCAAAATTCGAAGGTCATAAGTCAATGGTCATTGCGTCTTCCGGTTTTATTCACTTCCGTCATAGGGTGTTGCGGTGTACATGCGAGGAAAGATCTGCAATGTTTCCTCCCTTTCTTCGTTTTTTATTCGTTGCCCTCTCGGCCATTGTTCGTTGGCTTTTCGGAAAATACGAGTCTATGGTAATGCCAGGCAGCGGAAAATATTAATATTGAAATTCAATTCATACTTTGGTAAATAGTTTGGTTTATATTCGATCATTTTGATGAATAAATACGCATTTTTAATGCCACAATGGGATTCTACAATGACATATTATTACAATTATTTGTCTTGTTTTACTAGACAAACGACTCCTCTGCTCCCTTTGGCATTGCATGATATGAGTGTGTGGCACTGTAAGGAATTCTGAGATATTTGTTCATAACTCGTTTATAATTTGATATTATCTAGTCAATATAAGATTAAAATAGGAAATAGCGTGCATGTAGTATGAGAGAGTATTAACGATAAAAAATCACATTCTTTTTGCTATTGTCTTTTAGTGTAAATAATTCCCATTATAATTTGTTATTTAACGCTATCTAAACTCATGCAGTTACAGTCACAATTATTAACTGGACATTCAGTATGTTCTTCAAACCATTCTAACATATGCTTAGCATGTCCACCATGACGACATGTCTGACACCACGTAAACCACATGTGACTGGCGTTCATTTTACGTTGATCCACAGTATCTTCACTCTCTGAGAAAGAAAAACCGTTTGCATTAACTTTAATTTTTCCATTATCTACACGAATCTGAGCATGTGGGGTAAACATTGTTTTTAGAGCGCAAACAATGTACATGAAACTTTACTAGAGCATAAATTACATTTCAAACTTGGTCCTTATGATGTCAAATCGCGTTTAGAATTACTACAATGTTGTGCGCTAGTCATTTTTAATCTGGTTTTGACAAAAACACTTGCTCTCGGGGTTTTAATATCAACAAAAATTTTAGTTTCCAGGATATCAGAAGATTCTTAACTACACCCATATGCACATAAAGTTTCCGCACAACGGTGAGGGACTTTTCAGTTTACTGCATGGTATTTGAAAGTCTCTCTCGAGTAAGATATTTCATATATAGTTCATAATTTCCAGTCTTCCCCCGAGCGAGGACTAGAAGTATTTTCTGAGTAATAAGCTTGAGAACAACTTTTACTCATCATATACAAGCTTACAAATCTATACTAGACTATTAACTAAACATTAGCTACATCGCGTTTACGGTATTACACAACATATTGTATATATGTATATTTTATGCCGCTATAAGAGTTTTTACCTGAGCTATTCGACGGTTTTGCCTTCTTATCGAAGTGTGTTGATGTTGTTCCCATGTGCATGAGACATTGAGAACATCTTGGTAGAGGCTTCCCACATCCATTACAGCTGATACTCTAAAACAACAATCATGTTCTGCAATTCATTTTTCTGAAGTTTATAAGATATGCTCAAAGTAAAAACAGGAAAAGTTGGGGTCACCGAACTCGTTTCGAAGATATGACAAGTACAATTATGCCCCCCCTTATGGCACCATCTTGCGCCTTTTACGAGTTACATGAAAAATCGCAATTGCTAGACTGTTATCGAATTTTTAACAAGGATCCTACTAAAAATGACTATGTAGAGATTATATGCAAGAAAACATGGTATTTTAGCGAATCAAAAACCATTGACGTGCATTGTCGTGTAGGCTGTAGGCTGTGGGACTGAGCATCCAAAAGATGCTTAGAAAACGGATTCCGTTGCACCCCTCGTGTAACTACGTCATTTTCACATAAATAAATAGATAAAAACTTACTTTATCAGAATCCGTTGCTCCTCAAGCGAAACAGGTGCACAATTGGGAGATAAATCCCTCCAAAGTTTGATACTTTCGCGCTTCGAAATATTCGAACCACCATTGTTAGCAAATACGTATGCGCAACTCAGTCAAACACGCACTGCGCACGCACGCGCACAACCAACGCACATGCTTCGAAGTGGAAACACGCTCAGTTATGCAAATAAATCATGGCTGAAGATATTTATAAAACTCGAATGTCCTCATGTTTTATGCATTTTGATGGCGTTACGGAGCAACTTTGCAAAGTTACACGCCAAAGGCTTAAGAAATTTCTTGAGTGTAGGTCAAAATGGGCCAAACTTAAATGTCAACAAGCTGAAAGAGCTAAGAAATCGTACGAGAACATCGATGACGGATTTGTCAATTCATATATGGAGAAGAACCCCGATACCATTACCTTAGAATGGTACCATCATATGAAATGCTGGAAGAGATTTTGTGATGAAGAGAAGATCCGTAGACAACAGAGAAAAGAAGAAAAAGGAGAAGGAACAACCTCTAAAGCTGTAACTTCTACCGAAGAATCACACGTTGAAGTGAAGCCAATAGAACCAAGGCGAAAAATTACACGTCAATCAGTCACAGAAGCTATAAATAAGGCCCTGCCTAAAAGAAACGCGCATGTACTCCAAGAGATATGTATTATTTGTGGAAGAGACGCCTCGTGGTTCTCACTAGACAAGGTATGGTCATTTTGATAGGTATAATACTAGCGCAATGTGCACAACATTCTCGGGTTTGGTTTAAAATATATTGAATTGTGATCAATTAAGTTTATTTAGGGTAAAGTAGTTTCTATGCTACAAACATCCAACCTTGTTGTTAGCAGATATTTAGTTTAATAATTTTGTTTCACACCAGGTAACTAAGAAGAGAAGAAGAACCCCACTCATGTTGGCAGAAACAATTGATGCTGGGCTTCTGCTGAGAGAAAGAATGATGAACGTATACTAGTGCAAATTCGGGGGAACGACTGTGTAGCTCTGGAAGTCCGCTATCACAAAGTTTGCTACTGCAGTTGTTGTGAGAAAACTACGAAAGATGCCGTTATAATAGGCTTTATTCAACTTAAAATTGTACCTAACATTTTACAAATATGGCGGTCGAGACAATGTTTACATTCCGTGGGTCATACGCTGACCTTTATACTCTGGCTCAGAGCATACATTAAATATTCATAACATTCTCCCCGTCCTAATGTTCTACCTACTAACGAGAAACTAGTAAAATCATAATAGTCTTAATAAATCTACCTATAAATATAAACTAATAAAGTTTATAAGATAATTTAAAAGTCCAATCTATCAATGATATGACCAATTCATAAGTTTAATCTGTCAACAGGTCGACGCGTGCGTGTCGACCGTCTTAAGGAAAAGTCTGCATTATGTTCTTCTATCGAATGACTAATTCCTGGTTTCTCTATCGAAGAGGATTGTTCGTTTTGGGTTGAGTCACCTTGTTCTCCGTTTGATCTTCCGAAATCTCGTGGCTCATCAGTTGTATCGTCAGCAGGACTGCCCGTTACCTCAGCATTCGAGATTGAGTTGTTGTCGTTTCGTGCCACCGATGGTTGACAGGTCATTTCCTGGCCACGAGGTGCAAGGTGCTTAATAGCTACGGTCGTTTCTCTGCCATCTGGATAGCGCACGTTAGCGTAATGAGGGTTAGCTTGAAGCAGTTCTACTTCGTCTACGAGCGGGTCATGTTTGCTTGATCGGACTTGACGTTTAATGAGAACAGGTCCAGGCTGTAATAACCATGAAGGTATAGAGCTTCCAACGGTTGATCTTCGGGAGAAACTAAAGAAACGTTCATGGGGTGTCTCGTTTGTCGCTGTACATAAAAGTGAGCGCACCGAATGTAGAGCGTCCGCGAAAACTTCTTGCCAATGTTTTACTGGAAGATTCTTCGATTTAAGGCAGGTGACGATTGCTTTCCAGATTATGCCATTGTACCGCTCTACCTGACCATTTCCTTCGGGATTGTAACTAGTTGTACGACTTGTGGCTACTCCTTTTCCGATAAGAAAGGTTCGCAGTTCTTCGCTCATAAATGTTGCCCCTCGATCAGAATGAATATAAGCTGGCATACCAAAAAGAGAAAAGAGCGTAGTGAGACACTTGATCACAGTGGTTGTTGTCATATCAGGGCATGGAAACACGAATGGAAATCGTGAAAATTCGTCGACCACATTGAGGAAATACCGATTCTTATCAGTCGTTGGCAGCGGGCCTTTAAAATCCACATTGAGCCTTTCAAACGGTTTCGTAGCTTCGATGAGATGAACTTGTTCCGGGCGATGGAACTGAGGCTTGCATTCGTTGCATACTTTGCATGCTCTTGTAATCCTTCTTATCTCCTCGAGAGAATAAGGGAGATTCTTTGATCGGACAAAATGGTATAATCTTGTGACACCCGGGTGGCAAAGTGATTCATGAAGGTTGTAGAGTGACTCGGACGTTGTAGCACAAGTAGCGCGAGATAACGTATCAGGTGCAACATTCGACTTCCCAGGACGATAAACAATATCAAAACTGTAGCAAGCCAACTCTAGTTTCCAACGCATTATCTTGTCATTTTTAATTTTTCCTTTATGTTGGACGTCGAACATATACGAAACCGACTTTTGGTCAGTTTTGAGAGTGAAATGTCTCCCTGTTAGAAAATGTCTCCAATGGCGCACTGCTTCGATAATGGCTTGAGCTTCTTTCTCGACAGCTGCGTGTTTCAACTCGCTTCCTTGGAGTGTTCGTGAGAAGAAGGCCACAGGTCTACCATTTTGGTTGAGTGTGGCTGCTAAAGCCACATCCGAGGCGTCTGTCTCAACATCAAACGGGATACTTTCGTCAACAGCAGTAACAACAGCTTTCTCTATTGATTTCTTCAGGCTTTCGAACGCATCGACAGCTTGCTGGGATAGCGGGAAGGTCTTGCAGCTGGAAAGAGGCTTTACTTTATCTGAAAACGCTGGGATCCATCTCGAATAATAAGAAAATAATCCCAAGCACCTGCTCATGGATTTTGAGTCATGTGGGATAGGAAGTTCTCGTAGAGGTCGAAGACGCTCTGGATCGGGACGAATTTCCCCTTCTTCTACTTCATACCCGAGAATAGGGAGGCGTTTGGTCGAGAACACACTTTTGTCATCGTTGTAGGTAATGTTCTTGCGCTCTGCGGCGTCCAGGAAACATTTCAAGTTCACATCATGATCCTGTTGATCTTTCCCACAGATCGTGATATTATCAAGATATGGGAATGTTGCCTTAAGATCCTCTTCCTGTACGAATCTTACCATTTCTCGTTGAAAACAGGCAACACCGTTTGTGACTCCAAAAGGAAGACGTGTAAACTGATAAAGACAAC